TTTTTTTTTTTTTTTTTTTTTTTTTTTTATTTTTATTTGTTTTTATTTATTTTTATTTATTTTTTATTTTTATTGATTTGTTATTTTTGTTTATTTGTTGTTTTTTTATTTTCATCTGTTTTTTGTTTTAATTTATTTTTATCTGTTTTTTGTTTTTACTTTTTTTTTATTTTTTTTTGTTTATTTTTTATTATTTGTTATTTCTTTTATTTGTTTTTTATTATTTATTATTTATTCTATTTATTTATTTTTATTATTTATTTATTTTTATTATTTATTTTTTATTTTCATTTTTTTGTTTGTGTGTACATACAGCTGCGGTGTACTGTCTGCTCAGCTCTGTTTATTTGTTTATTTTGTTTATTTATTTTTTTTTGTTTTTCTTTTGCATGCATTTTATTTGTTTATTGTTTTTTTGATTTTTATTTTCCTGTTTTAATTTTATTTATTTTTTTTTTTTAAATTTCATTTATTTTATTCTCTCTTTCTGTATTTTTTGTTTGTTTTTTTTCTTTTTTTGTTTTTTGTTTATATTCATTTATTTGTCTTTCTTTTTTTCTTTGTTTTTATTTTTTTTTGTTTTTATTTATTTATTTTTATTTTTTATACTATACGCAGGATTTCTATGTGGAGCTGCTGAAGGCCTCGGTAGCGGCAGGAGAAGGACAGTGCGTCAAACCCTAAACCCTAAACCCTAAACCCTAAACCCTAAGTAGTATAGAGAAGGAACAGTTCCACTGATAGTTCACAACCTAGGGTTTAGGGTTTAGGGTTTAGGGTTTAGGGTTTAGGGTTTGTGGTTTGCAGGGTGGAGGCTTCAACACTTACGCGGGAGACGGCTCTACTAAAAGCCAAAAGGAAAGCCAGCGGTTCGTCTTTCTTCTCTTTCTTTGCTCTCCCCCACTTCCTAGGGTTTAGGGTTTAGGGTTTAGGGTTTAGGGTTTAGGGTTTAGGGTTTAGGGTTTGGTGTTCAGGAAAAACTGTGGATCGCCGGGCATCGAAGGGCCGCAAAATTCGCTACAAGCCGATCCCCCAACTGGAGAGTTTTGCTGTGAGGGTTTAGGGTTTAGGGTTTAGTGTTTTTATATAGGGTTTAGGGTTTGTATCCTCTTGTTTTTTTGGGAGTTTAGGGTTTAGGGTTTAGGGTTTAGTGGTTTTATGTAGGGTTTAGGGTTTGCATCCTCTTGTTTTTTTGGGGGTTTAGGGTTTGTGTCTTTCTTTCTTTTATATAGGGTTTAGGATTCGTGTATTTGGCTTTATGTAGGGTTTAGGGTTTAGGGTTTCTGTGCATGTGTATTTGGTTTTGTCTAGGGTTTAGGGTTTCTTTGTTCTGTTTATCTCGGGTTTAGGGTTTAGGATTTGTGCCTTTGATGCTATCTATGGTTTAGGGTTTAGGGTTTAGGGTTTAGGGTTTAGGGTTTAGGGTTTGTGGTGCAGACAGCCATCCCCTGGGCGCCCAACACAGANGTTTAGGGTTTAGGGTTTAGGGTTTAGGGTTTGTGGTGCAGACAGCCATCCCCTGGGCGCCCAACACAGAGGTGCTGCCGGGGGCTGACGACCCGCTGGTGGTGGAGGGTTTAATGAAGAACCTCTTTGCAGCTAGCTAGCTGTGGTGGCTAGCTGGCTCTCAGCTAGCTAGCTGCCTCTATACACTCCAGCTAGCTAGCTAGCTGCCTCGGTACAGTGTGGCTAGCTAGCTGCTGTGGTAGTGGTATAGCTTTGAGCTCTTCTAGCTAGCTACAGCTACACACCGTAGCTAGCTAGCTACTGCAGCTTAGGATTCACTAGCTAGCCACCACAACGAACTCCACCCAAACAGTATAGCTAGCTGCAGCTAGCCATACCTTGCAGCTGCAGCTAGCTAGTGGGCTTTGCCTCTGCCGAGGCTTTCATGAGCACACAAAGACCTGCAGTTGCGAATCGCGCTTCACAATGGGTACAGCTAGCTAGCCAGCTAGCTAGCTGTGGCTAGCCAGCTAGCTAGCTGTGGCTAGCCAGCTAGCTGGCTGTAGCTAGCTAGCTAGCTAGCTAGACCATTATGTGGGTGTTGCACATAGAGTGTGCCGAAGGTAACTTTAGCGGGCAAGACGGTTGGGCACAGCTAGCTAGCTNGCACATAGAGTGTGCCGAAGGTAACTTTAGCGGGCAAGACGGTTGGGCACAGCTAGCTAGCTAGCTAGCTAGCTACCAGCTAGGTAGCTAGCTAGCTAGCTAGCAGCTAGCTAGCTAGCTTGCTGGCTGGCCAGTGTTATTTTGTTTAATTTTGGATGACATTTTTGATTATTTGTGTTGTCTTTTGTTGGAACGAAGAAAAAGGAAAATAGAGAAGAGATAGGCGGCTTAATTTCAGGTGTATATACACCTCAACACACTAACCCTAAACCCTAAACCCTAAACCCTAAAACTAAAGACTCTCGTGACGCCTTGCTTACAACTGTAAACCCTCATTCTAATCCTGTTTATAAACCCTAACGCTTCACGCAGCCTTCATGCAGAACCCTAAACCCTAAACCCTAGAAAGAACGACTAAACCCTCACTATAAACCCCAAAGCCCTAAACCCTAAACCCTAAACCCTTTAATCTGGCTGTAAACCCTAACCCCCACCCCAGTTCCCTAGCCAATCCTAAACCCTCAAAATAGACCCTAAACCCTCAACCTAAACCCTAAACCCTCACGATAAACCCTAAACCCTCGTGCTAAACCCTAAACCCTCAGAATAAACCTGAAACCCTCAACCTTGTACCCATATAATACCCACCAAAGTGGCTTTGTTTTCACAAACCCTAATTTAAATTAAAATATAAATATAAATTTATATTTAAATTTAAATTAAAATTAAAATTTATATTTATATTTGAAGTGTAAACAATCGACAACTCGATCGTTTTGGTTTTCACGGAAAGCAGCCAGAACAGAAAAACAAGAAAATTAGTTTAAATATTTATTGGTGATGAA